GCACTTCAAACTAGTTGGAACAGTGGTTCTCAACCTGTGGGTCGGGATCCCATTTGGGGTCGAATGACCATTTCACGGGGGTCACCAAACAACGCAGTCCGCCATTTTTTCCCCCTTTTCCTTAGCTGTGCTACTCCTTTTTATTCTATTGGCTTTTGAAAGCCAATAGAATAGACTCTCTTGAATAGAGTCTAATTCTATTGGCTTTCAAAAGCCAATAGGAATTGTCCAGGCTGTCTCTGCCCTGCTGAGTCCGCCAAAAGTCCCATTCTGCAAACGGTGCTGCACCAGTTGAGTAGTCCTCGACTTACGACCGGTTGAGTAGTCCTCGACTTACGACCGGTTGGGGGTCGCGGCATTAAAAAGGTTGAGAACCACTGAGTTGAAGAATGTGATTAGTGACTGTTAAATGAAGGAGTGGATTATGCTTAGATACTATGTGTTTAAGGGAGGAGAATTCAGATGTTGACTTTGCCTATGTATGTGCGGAAGGTATGTTGCTACATTAAAAATTCTTTAAGGTAAACAATGCCTCAAAGTTCTTTGAGGAGCTTCTTCCTTTGGAACCATGACACAAGAGATTAGGAAGCACCTGGCTTTTTTTTTTTTTTTTTTTTTGATCAAAAACAGCTGTGTTGTTTTCAGTAGCCTCGTGTGTTCAGAGTCCCTTTGGGATTTATTGGGATTCTAAGCTGAAAAACCTTACGTTCTATAAGGGAACATTACGTTTTCCAACTTGGCACCTGCAGGGCCTAAGAGGAATTCTATATTTTTATTTTATTCTGTCTTATATGCTTCATCCTACTTTTTGTCCTTGTCCTGTGTTGGCTTTCCTGCAAAAGCCTTTCGCTAAGCTAAAGGAAGCTACTTTCTGAAATTTAAACTCTTACTGAGTAAAATGAGCCAGGATTTTGCTGAGTTTCTTCTCAGTGGTGGCATCAGCATTTAGGATAATAGTGGAATGTGCTAAGGATGGAGATGGGATGCTAATTTCTCTACTCCTCTATTCTATTCTAATCCTTGACTTACAACCATTGGTTTAGCACAAGGCTTTTCAACCTTTTTACCGACTGTACCACTTTTAGGATATGGCAATATTCGAGTACCACCTAGCAAGGTGTCAAAAACTTGATGACCAACAAAAAAAAACCTGTTCAAAGTTGCAATTGCACTGAAATGACTTATGACCATTTTTCACACTTATGACCATTGCAGCATGCCCAGGGTCATGTGATTTATATTTGGATGCTTGGCAACTGATTCATATTTATAATGGTCACAGTGTTCCAGGGTCACGTGATCCCCTTTTGCAACCGTTTGACAAGCAAAGTCAATGGCAGAGCTGCTGGTGGCCAAGTGCTTAAGGCGGGACTTCCTTTCCTCCCTTTTTCTCATTCCCATCTCCTTCTGAAGGAAGAATTTGAACCCCCCATATTTTCCCTCTTCCATGTATTGATCAAACAAGGAAAGGCCTCCAGAGACAGAAAAGACAAGCTGCTGAGTGAACTAGCTTAAAAGGGCATGTTCCCCTTTAAGAATTAGCTACTGGCTAGAAAGGAAAGTAAGGAGCGCAGCCGGCACTTAAGAAAAAAAAAATGTAAGTTCTGGCTGCCGGCTAAGGCAGCCTCCCCAAATGGTTCCATTCATAAGTAAAGGAATGCTACAGGCAAAATCCATTCAGGAGAAAAATACTTCAAAATCCCTTGCAGCAAAACTTACAGCTAACAACAGCAGAGCAATAGAAGCTAAGGCGAGACATAAGCCAAATAGAAATTGCCAAACACTCCTTAAGAACACAAATCCCAGAACTTCAAAGTCTCAAAAGCACATAAGAATCCTTCCACTCTCCGTCTCCTTCCCTCCTCCGTGCCTCACCTCCAGCCATTGCTGCCTTTTTTCATTCCTCTGGGAGGGCGACCCCTCCCCCACTGCATTTCTTGCCTGTTTGCTGCTGCCAGAACAGGTGGCTGCCACAGCAGTTGTAGATCGGCTCATGGCCAGCCTGCTTGATCTCCTCTCCTTCTCCTTCTCCTCCTTCTCCTCCTTCTTCTTCTTCTTCTTCTGCAGTGCAGCTGACTCTGCCTCCTCCCAAGGCTGCTGCTTTTTTTCTCTCTCTCCTTCTCCCACCCAAACTGCCTCCTTTTATAGCCTCTCCTGTCTCCGCCCCCTCCTCCTTTCTCATGAGGGAGGGTGAGCCAGAAGTGAGCCTGGGGCCTTTGCAACTCCAGAGGACTCTCTCACTGCAAGTCCTTGCCTGCACTGGCTCTTTCCTTCCCCTACTACACTTGGCTAGGCAGGGCTGCGTACCACCTGCCACTCATTAATGTACCACAAGTGGTACGCGTACCACCGCTTGAAAAGCCCCGGTTTAGCGAATGTCGGAAGTTAAGAACAACACTGTGAAAAGTGACTTAGGACCATTTTTCACATTTAATGACCGTTGCAGCATCCCCAGGCTCACATGATCAAAGTTCGGATGCTGGCAATTGGCTTGTGTTCACCTTTTATGACCTTCTGACGAGCAAAGTCAATGGGGAAGCCAGATTCACTTAACAACCGTGTTCCTAACTTCACTGCTGCGATTTACTTAATAACTATGGCACGAAAGGTCACAAAAAAGGGGCAAAATTAACTTAACAGCTACCTTGTTTAGCAATGAAAAATTTGGGCTCGGTTGTACAGGCAGTTCTCTTTTAGTGACTGTTTGAAGTTATAGCAGCACTGAAAAAAAGTGGGTTGTGACCGTTTTTCACATTTACGACCGTTGCAGCATCTCCACGGCCACATGATCAAAATTCAGACGCTTGGCAACTGACTCATATTTATGACGGGTTGCGGTGTCCCGGGATCCTGTGATGCCCTTTTGTGACCTTCTGACAAGCAAAGTCAATGGGGAAGCCAGATTTATTTAGCAACTGTGTTCCTAACTTAACAACTTGCAGTGATTCTCTTAACAACTGTGTCAAGAAAGGTGATATAATGGGGCAAAATTCACTTAACAAATGTCTCACAGCAACAAAAATTTGGGGCTCATTGTACGTCTAACTCAGGGGTCTAACTCAATTGTACATCTAACCCAGGGGTAGTCAACCTTGGCTCTTTTATGACTCGTGGACTTCAACTCCCAGAATTCCTGAGCCAGCATGGCTCAGCTTGGAAATGTCTCCCTTTCCCCTCAGCATGGCTGGCTCAGGAATTCTGGGAAATGAAGTCCACGAGTCATAAAAGAGCCAAGGTTGCCTATCCCTGGCCTAGGCCTGTATTTTTCAACCTTGGCCACTTGGAGATGGGTAGACTTCAATTCCCAGAATTCCTGAGCCAGTATGGGGGAACTATGGCCCCTTCATGACTCGTGGACTTCAACTCCCAGAATTCCTGAGCCAGCATGGCTCAGCTTGGAAACCTCTCCCTTTCCCCTCAGCACAGCTGGCTCAGGAATTCTGGGAGTTGAAGTCCACGAGTCATAAAAGAGCCAAGGTTGACTACCTCTGGTCTAACCTATACAAACTCCCCGAAAAATGCCTTAGTAGACAACCGGTTTCAATTTTTTCTGAAGTCCAAACGATAAAATAAAGGTTTCATTTCCACTTATTTATGTAAGCGCAGTATCCTGAAATTGATACAGAAATGTTATCTGGAATCTCAACTGTTCAGATTATTGATTCTGTTGTCATAAATAAGATGGGCGCTCTTGATTCACTAATCTGTATCTATGGCAGTGATGGCGAACCTTTTAGAGTCCGAGTGCCCAAACTGCAACCCAAAACCCACTTATTTATCGCCAGGTGCCAGGTGGGCGTGGCCCACTGGGTGGGCGTGGCTGTGGTGGTCATGGCAGACTGGGTGGGTGTGGCCAAAGTGGTCATGATCACCTCAATGTTCCTCGTGGGAGGGATGCCTGTGGGGGACGGGCAGGGTTATATATATATATTTATATTTTTAAAATTTATAAGCCGCCCCACTCCCGAAAGACTCTGGGCGGCTAACAATAAAAAACACATAAAACATAACAAAACAACAATACAAAAATAATCATCCAGGGGTAAGGTTTTATAAACCCCAGGCCTGCCGGAAAAGCCAGGTCTTAAGTAGCTTACGGAAGACCAACAGGGTGGGAGCGGTCCTAATCTCCGGGGGGAGCTGATTCCAAAGCGTGGGCGCCATCACAGAGAAGGCCCTCCTCCGCGGCCCCGCCAAATGGCACTGCTTGGCCGACGGGGCCTGAAGGAGGCTCAGCCTGTGGGATCTAACCGGACGTAGGGAATTATGAGGTAGTAGGCGGTCTCGCAAATAGCCTGGCCCTGAGCCATATAGGGCTTTAAAAGTAATGACCAACACCTTGAATTGGACCCGGAGACCAATAGGCAACCAGTGCAGCTCACGGAGGATAGGTGTAATGTGGGTGTATCGAGGGTTGGGGGAGATCCAGGGGGTCTCTGGTGGGCAGGAGGCTCATCCTGTGGGGTGAGGTGAGGCAGGGTGGGGGTGCCATTGTCACAGGGCAAGGTGAGGCAGGGGCCAGGACGGTTGCTGCCTGACACCATCAGCCCCTGCACACACAGGACAGTGAGCGCATGGGTGCTGGGATGCATCCAGCCTTGTGGGACTTCGGAGGTTAGCGGGCGGCTGGTTAAAGAGGGACGGTTGCCATCTCTGGGGCATGTCGCGCGTGCCCACAGAGAGGGCTCTGAGTGCCGCCTCTGGCATGCGTGCCATAGGTTCGCCACCACTGATCTATGGTGTATGGATGGTGGACCCAAGAGTTGAATGGCATGCAAAAATGATAAACAACGCAGGGCCAGGCTTGGACAAACCAGGTTATCTGGCTGCAAGTATTCAAATTTTGACAGACTATACATTGGGGAGGGATCAAAGCAGGAATATTCCAAAATTTGGGAGGGGTGAAAATTATGCTATTTGATCTTACCCTGTTGAAAAGGGAAGAGTGAAATAATCTAGGTTCAGAACCACATCAAAGCCTGCAGTAGTGGAAGACGTACCTGGGAATGCTAGTTAAGTAGGTGACAACATTCAGAAAATCTTCATTGGGGATCTCACTGAAGCCCGGATATTCGGGGAAGGTAATGATTGGTGCCCCATCCTTCCCTCTTCCACCTGCAAGAGAAATTGGTTCTCAGTGGGCAAAACAACAACAACAATAACAACAACCGAAGGAACATTGATAAGAGAAAATCCCCATGTTGCACAGTAGATCCACCCAAGTTCTTTTAGCTGCAGTGTAAGCTACAGGTAATCTTTGACTTACAAACATACTTTTAGTGACCATTTGAAGTTACAGTGGCCCTGAAAAAAGTGACTTGCGACCAACAAAGGAGAATATTTGTAGCTCAGGGTTGACGCGAGGGGTCCTTGGTGCTCTCTGAGCTTGCTTGTTTTCTTGCAGTCATTTCATTACCCAAACTAGGTAACGTCATCAAACTAACACTGATGATGTTTGCCCAGTTTGGGTAATGAAACGTTTGCAACAAGCAAGCTCAGAGAGTACCAGGGACCCCTGACCTATGACCATTTTTCACACTTAACCACTGTTGCAGCGTCCATGTGGTCACGTGATCAAAATTCAGACGCTTGGCAACTGGCATGTACTTATGACGGGTTGCAGCGTCCCCGGGGGGGGTCACGTGATCCCCTTTTGCGACCTTCTGACAAAGTCAATGGGGAAGCCAGATTCACTTAATAACTGCGTTACTAACTTAACAGCTGTATTGATTCACTTTAACAACTGTGGCAAGAAAGGTCGTAAAAGGGGGCAAAATTCTCTTAACTCGCTTAGCAACAGAAATTTTGGACTCAGGTATGGTCGTGAGCCAAGGACTACCTGGACAGTATTTGATTTCTTGTTCCTGCAATCACAGTCGTTGCTCTGCATTCAGTGGTGCCATTAATATTGTTTTCTTCCCGACATAAATGCATTCTGAGCACTTCCTTTTCAAGCTAAGGATGCAAACTATGGAGCCAGCTGAACAGAACATAGAATATAGAATCCTAGGGCTGAAAGGGACCTCGGAGGCCTTCTAGTCCAACCCCTTGCACAAGGCAGGAGACTTTATACCCACCCAATGACTCCCATAAACTGCCAGCTTTCTCCCCATCCTGACTTGGTCTTCTGCACTTGAATCATTTAATGCAGGGGTCCCCAAATAATAATAACAACAACAACAACAAAACAACAACAATAATAATAATGTTGGAAGGGACCTTGGAGGTCATCTAGTCCAACTAGTCCTGCTCAGGCAGGAAACCCTATACCATTTCAGACAAATGGCTGTCCAGTCTCTTCTTACAAACTTCCAGTGTTGGAGCATTCACCGCTTCTGGAGGCAGGTTGTTCCACTGGTTAATTGTTCTCACTGTCAGGAAGTTTCTCCTTAGTTCCAGGTTGCTTCTCTCTTTGGTTAGTTTCCACCCGTTGCTTCTTGTCCTGCCTTCTGGTGCTTTGGAGATTAGCTTCACTCCCTCTTCTTTGGGGCAGCCCCTGAGATATTGGAATACTGCTATCATGTCCCCCCTTGTCCTTCTCTTCGTTAAACCGTTGTCAACCGTTGTCACAGCAGCATAGCAATTCTCTTCTTTATCCCCATGTGAACCTGTCATCCCAGTGAGGACCCTAAGGAGGAGGGGGATTCATCTTAACCCTCTAGGCCAGTGTTTCCCAAACTTGACAATTTTAAGGCATGAGGACTTCAACTCCCAGAATTCCACAGCCAGCAACGCTGGCTGTGGAATTCTGGGAGTTGAAGTCCACATGCCTTAAAATTGTCAAGTTTGGGAAACACTGCTCTAGGCCTGCTTCATGTTTCTCCCCCAACTCTTCATAGTTATAGCGAGAAGCTACAAGCCCGAGCCAGTCACCGAAAGTTTAATTTTTACAAATCTTGGATTGCCAAGAGAGCCAGGACTGTTTGCATTTTGGGAAGAAGTTTGTTGTTGGCAGAGGAAAGTAACAGAAGATTTAAATAGGATCAGATTAAAAACTGGGGAGCCAATGAGACACTTTGAAAATATATGGCGTGTAAGCCAAAGAATTGAGTGGAAGTTGCAAAAGACTTGTGATTATATACAGAAAGCAAGTATGAAGTTCCTGTAGGTGCACCAAGCCAACACAGAGACTTTGGACTTGCTGTGATGACCTCTGCAGTCTGGGTGATTGTGGGCCAGCACCGATAGGAAACGTGACTAACCTATTTATAAAATGGAATTGTACTAATCGGAGGTTTTAGTTTCAGGCTGTGGTTATGTAACGTCCCTTTCTAATGATCCTGCAGTGCAGCGCTGATGCCTCTGGGGTTTATAGGAGAGTCGAGTCGGATAAGCAAAGAGAGCAATAACTGTGCAAAAACAGTTTTGTACCAAGCAATTGTCTGAAACTGCTGATTTGTCTGCTTTCCCCAGCTGGCAGGATTTAGATGGATTGTCTACGGAGAGCCAGGTCACGATTGTCCCAAGGTGCTTTTCCAAAAGGCCACTGGATTTTCTTGGAAGATCTGAAGAAGCTTCTTGGATGAGAAGCAAAACGTTTTCAAAGAAAAAACAAAACCAGGAACGTCCAGTTGCCTTTTGGAAAAGCACTTTGGATTCAGATGGGTTTTAAGCCACGTGGATGGGGAATTCTGGAAAGTGAAGTCTCAGATATTTGCGTAGCGTTAAATTGGGTGGTCAAGAGAAAAAACAAACAAACCCAAGGACCTTCAAGGAAATCAATTTACAGTTCTCACTTGAGGCACAAGTGACCAAACCTCAGTGATCATACTTTCGAGATCTTATGGGACGATCCAATTCTCTGGAGAAGGCTCTGAGGCTGGGAAAGGTGAAAGAAAAGAGAGAAAAAAAGAGGAGCAATAAAGCAGCAAAGTAGAGGGTTATGGTGGTGATGGGTGCACCATTGGAATTGCTAAAGGATCAGATTAAGGACAATTATGGAGCAAATCTATCGGAGGCGTTGCTAGGACTATACGGAAGGGACCTCATCAATTAAGTTGGAATGTGCATAAACAACAGCAGAGCGGTGGTGGCACAGTGGTTAGAATGCGGTGTTGCAGGCAAACTCTGCCCATTGCCAGGAGTTCGATTCTCACCGGCTCATGGTTGACTTAGCCTTCCATCCTTCTGAGGTCAGTAAAATGAGGACCCATATTGTTGGGGGACAATATGCTGACTTTGTAAACTGCTTAGAGACGACTGCAAAGCAGTATGGAGCGGTATGTGAGTCTAAGTGCTATGCTGGTTTAACTGCTGCTTCTTTTCTCCAGGGTTTTCATTCAAATCAAACATTTCCATGGGACTTTGTAGCTTTCTAGCAGCACTCAGGTGTGACTCACTTAACAACCACCTTGTTTAGCAATGGAAATTCTGATCCCAATTCTGGCTGTAAATCAAGGACTATTTGTATACACAGAGATTAAAGCAATCTGCTTCTCCTGGCATTATGGAAGCATGTCATTAAGGATCAAAGCTGGTCTATTAAGAGGCCCTGAAGCCAGATTTTTAACTTATAATCACCCTCCTTTGCTCAGGATGAACTTGTTCATACACTTTACAGGTAGTCCTTGGCTTACGACCACAATCGAGTCCAGCATTTCTGTTACTAAGTGAAACATTTAAGTGAAGTTTGCCTCATTTTACGATCTTTCTTGCCACAGTTGTTACATGAATCACTGCAGTTGTTAAATTAGTTACACTGTTAAGAGTCGTGGTAGCGCAGTGGTTAGAATGCAGTACTGCGGGCTACTCCTGTTGACTGCCGGCTGTCAGCAGTTCGATTCTCACTAGCTGAGGATTGACTCAGCCTCCCATCCTTCCAAGGTTGGTAAAATGAGGATCCAGATTGTTGGGGGGGGGGCAAATATGCTGACTCTGTAAACTGCTTAGAGAGGACTGAAGCGGCATACAAGTCTAAGTGCTATTGCTATCTGCCTTCCCCATTGACTTTGCTTTTCAGATGGTTGCAAAATGACCCTGGGACATTGCAGTCATTGTAAGATAATATGATGGTATTCATATAATAGCTCGATGCTTGCAGAGAAGTGTTGTCTATGCAGGAAAAAAAAAAGACAAGAAAAAGAGGGAAAAAGGAGGGCACTACTGACACCTTGTGGACACGACTGGTACTGAACGAAGGAGGGGAAAAGGGTTGGGCTGTATTTTGGGAAGTGAGCTCAGCAAAAAATAAAAACAGCAGCAGCAGCAGCTGGTATATAGCCCTGTGTTCGTGCACAGAATGAAAGGAGCCACAGGGTTGATTGCATCTCTTGTGTTGCTTGGGAATGTCATTCAATGTAAATGATGATTTTTATCCCCATATGATGGAACTTCATTCAGAGTACAAAGGGCCAGATCAGGGTGTGCTTAGGGGGAGAGAAAGGGGGGGGGGGAAGGACGTTCATCTTTTCCCAATTCTCTGCTTTTCTCTTTTTTGTCAACTATCTCTGTTCATTTGCAATCCAAGAAGACATGGATTACACATTTTGGAAATTAGAAGCTTGCCACACAGGGAAGGATGAAAGCACATGATCAGGTGTGCTGCTCCATTCAGCCTCCTGCTGCTAATTCTAGGGTTGGGAAGGATGGGTGTCTTTTTTTACAGCAGGTCTCATTTTTGAAGCCACTGGACATAAGCCAAGGACCTGCTGTGTTCTTCTAGTGATTTTGATAGGATATCCCCGCTTGGAAGATTCACTGTCATCCCAATTTTTTTGCCACTTCAGGATTACTTTTCTGATTATGGATCCATGAAATCCTAGAGATTTAGCAATGATTAACCTTTTTAGATTGCTTTACAGAACAAACTCTGATTTGAACAGGGCATGCCAGGTCTCCAGAGTCGATGTCGGGTCTTCAAACTTGGCCCTTTTATGACTTGTGGACTTCAACTCCCAGAATTCCTCAGCCAGGCAAGCTGGCTGAGGAATTCTGGGAGTTGAAGTCCACAAGTCATAAAAGGGCCAAATTCTTCTCACCCCTGGTCTATGTGGTGAGAAGTTCACTGTGATGAGAGAAAGTAAAACTTTGTGAAATTTAACTCAAAAAGGGCTGGTCCAAATCAGGCACAATTGTTTAATGTGATATTCACAGAAGTACCCCTAGTTACCCCGTTT